TTTTACCACAGGGTTGGCACTAGAAGCTTTCTTGGGGCCCATAGTCACTTATTTTGCAGATAAAATCACCAAAAACACTGTATGCTTGGATGTTACTGCGGAGGCTGGCTTGTAAACAATGCCACCGGTGGAACATGTGAGGCTGGCTCAGGCCGCACATTAGACGCGTCTCGGATGAATAGTGTTGAGCGGGTTTTTCAGCGGTATGCGAGGCAAAATCTTAGCGATAAAATGTATCGGTATGCGGATTTAACGTTATGTGATGCCAACGGTACGCGGGGGTCCACTGTATGTGTATAGAACCTAGGATAACCCAAAAAAAGTCAGACAAAGTGACTTATTTCCAGTACCTGGCTTGGGCTTGCCATATACGATTTTTGGTAAATGTTTTTTTCTCAGTAGTGTGTTGGGCTATCTTACTGAAACTTGAGCAATGTATGATAGAAAGATGCTTCTTAACGTACACCAAAAATGAAAGAAATCAGATTATAAATATTGGAGTTCACTTCTCAGAAATTAGCTGCCCTTTAGTGGTATATTTTTGTATAGTTTTTATGGTTGTAGTCTCTTTTTTTTATCTCATTTGATAGAATGGAAGATATATTATAGAAATATATATAGTTTTGATAAGCTTCACAACGAAAAGTACCTTGAAACTGAGCTCAAAGTATCAGAAATGTTCGAGTTTTGCCGATGTTCAAGAGTAAACAAATGACGTCACCGTCTAATACATGTCCAACCGGCCAGTCTAATATGCAGTTACAAATGGGTTGACATTATTTATACAATTATTACAATAATGCAGTAGTCTGCATAATAGTAAATCTTCTGTTTTTTTGTGTGAATAAAAATTCAAAATGGAAAGCAAGAGTAATATAAGAGGAGCCTGGAGCCATGACTAATGAACAGAGAAAATTTTATTTTAGTGCCAGGAATGTCTGCATTATTTATTCTGAGCTCTATTTTGAAACTGGCATCTTTTGAAATTTGTGTGAAATTGGCCAAATTGCCAGTTTCTGACCTTTTTACTGAGTAGCTGAAATAGGTGAATGGGTGGTTTCTTGTACTCAATCGAGAGAATAGAAGGAATACTAGCAAAATAGCTTTGAGTTTGATAGACTAGAACAATGGAATGGGCCAAAAATAGGGCATAAATTGGGTGAAATCACCAATGCATAAATACTGCTGTTTGGTTAAGTGTATTCTAATCTAACCACTCTGTAATCCATCAAAGTCGCTAATCCAGCACCCTACAGGTCCCGATGACACCAGATTAGTGATGGCCAACCTGTACTGAATGAGAGATTTTTTTTTTATTATTTTTTTTTTTTTTTTTTTTTTTTTTATTATCACACCGGCCGATTCCCACCAAGGCAGGGTGGCCCGAAAAAGAAAAACTTTCACCATCATTCACTCCATCACTGTCTTGCCAGAAGGGTGCTTTACACTACAGTTTTTAAACTGCAACATTAACACCCCTCCTTCAGAGTGCAGGCACTGTACTTCCCATCTCCAGGACTCAAGTCCGGCCTGCCGGTTTCCCTGAATCCCTTCATAAATGTTACTTTGCTCACACTCCAACAGCACGTCAAGTATTAAAAACCATTTGTCTCCATTCACTCCTATCAAACACGCTCACGCATGCCTGCTGGAAGTCCAAGCCCCTCGCACACAAAACCTCCTTTACCCCCTCCCTCCAACCCTTCTAGGCCGACCCCTACCCCGCCTTCCTTCCACTACAGACTGATACACTCTTGAAGTCATTTTGTTTCGCTCCATTCTCTCTACATGTCCGAACCACCTCAACAACCCTTCCTCAGCCCTCTGGACAACAGTTTTGGTAATCCCGCACCTCCTCCTAACTTCCAAACTACGAATTCTCTGCATTATATACACACCACACATTGCCCTCAGACATGACATCTCCACTGCCTCCAGCCTTCTCCTCGCTGCAACATTCATCACCCCCGCTTCACACCCATATAAGAGCATTGGTAAAACTATACTCTCATACATTCCCCTCTTTGCCTCCAAGGACAAAGTTCTTTGTTTCCACAGACTCCTAAGTGCACCACTCACTCTTTTTCCCTCATCAATTCTATGATTCACCTCATCTTTCATAGACCCATCCGCTGACACGTCCACTCCCAAATATCTGAATACGTTCACCTCCTCCATACTCTCTCCCTCCAATCTGATATTCAATCTTTCATCACCTAATCTTTTTGTTATCCTCATAACCTTACTCTTTCCTGTATTCACCTTTAATTTTCTTCTTTTGCACACCCTACCAAATTCATCCACCAATCTCTGCAACTTCTCTTCAGAATCTCCCAAGAGCACAGTGTCATCAGCAAAGAGCAGCTGTGACAACTCCCACTTTGTGTGTGATTCTTTATCTTTTAACTCCACGCCTCTTGCCAAAACCCTCGCATTTACTTCTCTTACAACCCCATCTATAAATATATTAAACAACCACGGTGACATCACACATCCTTGTCTAAGGCCTACTTTTACTGGGAAAAAATTTCCCTCTTTCCTACATACTCTAACTTGAGCCTCACTATCCTCGTAAAAACTCTTCACTGCTTTCAGTAACCTACCTCCTACACCATACACTTGCAACATCTGCCACATTGCCCCCCTATCCACCCTGTCATACGCCTTTTCCAAATCCATAAATGCCACAAAGACCTCTTTAGCCTTATCTAAATACTGTTCACTTATATGTTTCACTGTAAAACACCTGGTCCACACACCCCCTACCTTTCCTAAAGCCTCCTTGTTCATCTGCTATCCTATTCTCCGTCTTACTCTTAATTCTTTCAATTATAACTCTACCATACACTTTACCAGGTACACTCAACAGACTTATCCCCCTATAATTTTTGCACTCTCTTTTATCCCCTTTGCCTTTATACAAAGGAACTATGCATGCTCTCTGCCAATCCCTAGGTAACCTTACCCTCTTCTATACATTTATTAAATAATTGCACCAACCACTCCAAAACTATATCCCCACCTGCTTTTAACATTTCTATCTTTATCCCATCAATCCCGGCTGCCTTACCCCCTTTCATTTTACCTACTGCCTCACGAACTTCCCCCACACTCACAACTGGCTCTTCCTCACTCCTACAAGATGTTATTCCTCCTTGCCCTATACACGAAATCACAGCTTCCCTATCTTCATCAACATTTAACAATTCCTCAAAATATTCCTTCCATCTTCCCAATACCTCTAACTCTCCATTTAATAACTCTCCTCTCCTATTTTTAACTGACAAATCCATTTGTTCTCTAGGCTTTCTTAAATTGTTAATCTCACTCCAAAAACTTTTTCTTATTTTCAACAAAATTTGTTGATAACATCTCACCCACTCTCTCATTTGCTCTCTTTTTACATTGCTTCACCACTCTCTTAACTTCTCTCTTTTTCTCCATATACTTTTCCCTCCTTGCATCACTTCTACTTTGTAAAAACTTCTCATATGCTAACTTTTTCTCCCTTACTACTCTCTTTACATCATCATTCCACCAATCGCTCCTCTTCCCTCCTGCACCACTTTCCTGTAACCACAAACTTCTGCTGAACACTCTAACACTACATTTTTAAACCTACCCCATACCTCTTCGACCCATTGCCTATGACTCTTTAGCCGATCTATCTCCAAGCTGTTTATCTTACCTAATGCCTCCTTTAAGTTTATAACCTTCACTTCTCTCTTCCTGATGCTATTCTCCTTGGGTCCACTACTTTTACTCTCAGTAATCTACAACTAGAAAGTGATAAAGATATTCTGGCCCCTGCTAGCTTGTACATAGAAGTTACTCAAAGTTTTTTCTACTAGTATACAAATCAACAAACTTGATTTCCCCTACATCATATGATGTTACTTTAATTCCTCTAAATTTTAAAAAATATGTATTACCTATAACTAAATCCCTTCTATACAAATGTTCCATTTCAAGGTGTCCCATTTCATTTCACCGGGTACCCCAAACTTACCTCCTTCTCTCAAAAGTTTCTCCTACTTTAGCATTTAAGTCCTACCACAATTTACTACTACTTGGTTCAAGGCTCTAAATTCACTTAAATCTCCAAAATCTCTCTTCTCTCGCATCTCTCTTCTCCAGGTATACAGCTATTATACCACTTCCATCGCTCCAACCTTTACTATTAATCCACATGAATTCTTGAATTACAATTCATTTTTTTCTCATTCATAATGATCTTTACATTACTGCTAACCCTTCCTTTGTCTCTATAAAATTCAGATACTCAGATTAATCATTATTTCCCCCCACTGAACTCTCCTACAACTAGCTTTTGTTTCGCTTAGGGCCAGGAACATCCAATTCTTTTCATTCATAACTTCGCAACTGTTTCTTGTATCGCATACATCACGCACATTTAGGCCAACCCAGTTTTATAGTTTTTCTTCTTCTCTTTTTAGTATTGTATACAGGAGAAGGGGTTTATGCCATTGCCGGCAATTTTAGTCGCCTCATACGAACGCTTGGCTTACGGAGGAAAGATTCGTTTTCGCTTCACCATGGGCATAAAGAAATAAAAAAAACAAAAGTATTGAAAAGAGAAAAACCTAATGTAATGATATTATATATGCATGTCGTCTGTGAAGTACCCAAAGTGTCGAGGAAGCAAAGATATCCCCTGTTATCTTAGCGTGTTTATGAGACAGAAATGAGAGATATAAATAAAATTCAACACGTTATAGGTTACAATTCATACCCTACAGGAATACCTATGAAATGTCAACACGTTATAGGTTACAATTCATACCCTACAGGAATACCTATGAAATGTAACATACCATTAATCTTTTAAAAAGAAGAGAGGTGCCTTAATACAAATGAAGGGCTCTTGATCCAAAGAATTGGAGCTACCCTTCATTTCCTTGGATCGAACCTGACTGTCTCTCATTCTCCAAGATGCTATATGATTGATATGGGTTTAGTGCTCTCATGAAATAACATACCATTAATCAGCAAGCACATGGTTCCTGCAGATGCAACATCCAGCACTTTTCCTATACCAGGAAAACTGAGTTTCTTTGCAGTATGAATTTGCATGTCATCTGTCACTGAATTTAGCTGATGATATTCTGAATTTCCCCAACCAAATATCTCCCCTTTATCTGAAAGTTTAAATATATTTTTAGACACAAAAGTACATATATACTATATACTAGTACAGTAGATTTGTGTTCAAATACAAAATTTCCAACACAATTTGAGATTTATCAGTCTACAAGAATTTCATATATATAAGGCTAAAATTGGAAGTACTGTACTGAATAGTACTTACAAGCATCAGTTTACTACTGTACAATCCTGTTTCATAAATATACCAATTCTAGACAATGTATTTTTGTATTGCTTACAAAATCAGTCTTCAAAAACATTTTAGATCATGCAGAAATTATAGTAAAATAAACAAAATCCATTCTTGCTAAACAATAACCCATGTGGAGACAGATACTTGTACATTTCTACCCCCAACTGGAGTCCTCTTCAGCTGCTGAAGTGGATTTCAGTTGATTAACCCCTTGACTGTCGCAACCCCCAATCCTGAGGTGTCTGTCTCCTGGTGTCGCAAAATTTAAAAAAAAAAAAATTTTTTTTTCTATTAAATGATAGAGAATCATTTCCCGATTGTAATGACACCAAAAAAACGAAATTTGATGGAAAACTGATGGAATTATGCTCTTGGGAAGTTAGCAACCTCGGCGATATTTACAAATCGGCGTCGCCCACTTTGAGCCCTATTTTCGGCTAATAACGTTGTTCCAGTCGACGAAACTCATAGCTATTTCTTTAGAACTCCATTTTTTCTATCGACTGAGTACAAGAAACTGCCCATTTACCAATTTCAACTACCCAATAATGTGGTCAGAAATTTGCAATTTGGCCAATTTCACAAAAATTAAAAAATATGACAATTTCAAAATAAGGTCCAGAATGAACAAGGCAGACATTCCTGGCTCTAAAATAACATTTTCTTTGTTCATCAGTCATGCCTCCAGGCCCCTCTGATATTACTCTTGCTTTCTATTTTGAATTTTTATTCAAACAAATAATAGAAGACTTACTATTATGCAGACTACTGCAAAACTGTAATAATTGTATAAATAACATCAACCCATTCATGACTACATATTAGAATAGCTAGTTGGACATTTATTGGACAATGACATCATTTGTTTACTTTTGAACATTGGCAAAAATCAAACATTTCCCCTACTTTGAGCTCCATTTCCAGGTTCTTTTTATAGTAAAATCAATCAAAATCACCTCTATTTCTATAATATGTTTTCCATTCTATCAAACGAGACCAAGAAAATGAGAATACACCCATAAATACTATACAAAAATAGATCACTAAGTCGGCATTTTAATTAAAAAAAAAAGGTCGGAGTTTTTTTTTCTCAATGCACTGCGTGCTCCAGGATTTTTTTATGTGGTGCACACTGACCACACAGACCCATTCTCTCACATGTGGGCCTACCAGCTTTCTCCTGCTTGATTTGAAGCTGCTAGAATTCATGAGTATATATACGTCAAACACGGTACCTCATAAGACGGCCGCGACAGTCAAAGGGTTAAAATATACAGACCAACTTTATTTTACAAGTTTCTGTCTCCATGTGAATTATTACTTGGCAGGAGAAGTGTTCATTACTATGAATGAATTCAACACAAATTAATTCTATAATTTGTCTAGTACAAATATGACTAGCTTGTTAATATAGTTACTGCTATATTGTGATTTATCTATATTAGAGTTTTGCAAACTAGAATATATGAAATCTTAGACAAAGCAATATTCAGGTACATTATTCATGCTATATTGATGACAACTTACCACTTAAAGCTAAAGCACAGTCTGCTCTACACGACACTTTAACAATTTTTTCTCCGACAACATCTCCGATAACACGGCCAACACAAGGGTCATTATTATAGCGCCCTCTACCTGTCTGACCATCAGCTCCCCAGCCACATGAATACACCACTCCATCTTCACTTAGAAACAAGCTGTGAGGAAGAAAGCCTCTAATAAGGACACTGTTCTGTTGAAAATATGATAAATTTACTCCAAGCTATGGTACTTTTTCTTATATATACATGTATATATATATACACACACACACACACACACACCTACCATCCGACTTACGACCTGCTCGACATACATCCACTCGACTCACGACCGTGCATCTGGCAGCTGGGCTGGGCTGGCTGATGCACACCGCTGTACAATATTTGATGATACTCATGGCGGCAATGCGTCATGCAGGCAGCATCAGTTTGAGTAACCCTGCCCTATCAGCAGCATCATACTGTATTAACTGTACTAACTGGACAGTAAATTTCACCATGCCCCTAAGATGAAGTCTGAATCTTGCACTGGAGATTGTGGTAAGAAAGGCTCTTACTCTCGAACTCTATTTGTTTTCACTGTTGCACATAAACCTGTCTGTATCTGTCTGTCTGTATATCTGTGTCTGTCTGTATCTCTGTGTGTCTGTTTATCTTTCTGTCTACCTGTGTGTCTGTCTTTCTGTCTACCTGTGTGTCTGTCTTTGTCTACCTGTGTATCTGTCTTATGTCTACCTGTGTGTGTGTGTCTTTCTGTCTACCTGTGTGTGTGTCTTTCTGTTTACCTGTGTGTGTGTCTTTCTGTTTACCTGTGTGTCTGTCTTTCTGTCTACCTGTGTGTCTGTGTCTACCTGTGTGTCTGTCTTTGTCTACCTGTGTCTGTCTTTCTGTCTGCTTGTCTGTGTCAGAGCCACTCATTAAGAGTGTAATTGAAGACGCCATATTAATAATGATAATAACACAATAATAATCACTGAGGCGCATTAAATGTGTATAAAATGTTAATATAGACATTTTGCTTAATCCATCTATGATTTTTTCAAAATTATATAATAAACATGCTACATAACATATAAGCATATAAATTAACAAATATGAGATGTTTTTCTGGTCGGCCTGACAGAGTGAACAAAAACCATTTGTGTCCAGGCTGGTAACAACAACAACGTTTGTTTACATAACTTGCGAACCTTCTACACTTTCATTCTCTCTCTCGTTTATTCATTTATTCTTGTTTACTCACCTCTCACTCTACACTAAGACTACAGATATTACACGATTATTATATTATAGTTTAATAATAATATTATTAATATTAGTACATATATATTATTGTAATAATAATAATTAATATTATTATTAATTTAGAGCACTGGAGCACAGATCCACTGTATAGCACTGTCTGGATTTTTTGGGTTATCCTAGGTAATTTATACTATGTATGATAACTTTACTTATGTGTACCTGTGAGAGAGAGAGAGAGAGAGAGAGATAGAGAAGAGAGAGAGAGAGAGAGAGAGAGATACAGAGATAGAGAGATACAGAGAGAGAGAGAGAGATAAAGAGAGAGAGAGAGATACAGAGACAGAGAGAGCCATATTCAATCAGCCAGTCAGCCAACCACCCACCCACCCGGCCACCCAGCCAGTCAGCCAGCCAGCCGGATACGTATTACACATGTTCCAGAATTGTTTCTCTTTACTTAGGGTATAGGTTATACTACATTCTGGCAGGATGACACTACCAGTGTTATTCTCCCATTCCACTGTGTCGACAATACATAAAGATAACAGTAACATATGATACTGTATGCGATGTAAAATTTACAATACAGTTCACTACCATGTATACATTATATACAGTACATAAATAATTAAAATATAACAAAAGTAAATTATGGTAAAAAGAATGAAATAATGATTGTACATTACATTACAGTATTATGTAGGTAGTTTATATAGGAAATGTTTGACATTATGCCCTACCCAGTATGTCGGCAATTTTCAAAGGTTCGACTTACGTCCATTTTGACTTACGACCGGTTGGTCAGAGCCAAGCTTGGTTGTAAGTTGGATGGTACCTGTATATATGTACAGTGGAGCCCCGGTTCGTGATATTAATCCGTTCCTGAGACCTCATCGTAAACCAAAATTATCGGAAAGCGAATCAATTTTCCCCATAAGAAATAATGGAAATCAAATTAACCCTTTGACTGTCGCAACCCCCAATCCTGAGGTGTCTCCTGGTGTCGCAAAATTTAAAAAAAAAAATTATTTTTTCTTATGAAATGATAATCTTTTCCCGATTGTAAAGACACCAAAAAAACGAAATTTAATGGAAAACTGATGGAATTACGTTCTCGTGAAGTTAGCGACCTCGGCGATATTTACAAATCGGCGATTTTGCCCACTTTGAGCCCTATTTTCGGCTAATTCCATTATTCCAGTCAACCAAGATCATAGCTATTTCTTCAGAACTCCATTTTTTCCATCGATTGAGTACAAGAAACTGCCCATTTACCGATTTCAATTACCCAATAACATGGTCAGAAATTTGCAATTTGGACAATTTCACAAAAATTTAAAAAATATGACAATTTCAAAATAAGGACCAGAATGAACAATGCAGACATTCCTGGCTCTAAAATAATATTTTCTTTGTTCATCAGTCATGTCTACAGGCCCCTCTGATATTACTCTTGCTTTTTATTTTGAAATTTTATTCAAACAAAAAATAGAAGATTTACTGTTATGCAGACTACTGCAATACTGTAATAATTGTAAAAATTACATCAACCCATTCATGACTGCATATTAGAATGGATATTTGGACATTTATTGGACAATGACATCATTTGTTTACTTTTGAACATCGGCAAAAATCAAACATTTCCCGTACTTTGTGCTCCATTTCCAGGTTCTTTTTATAGTAAAATTAATCAAAATCAACTCTATTTCTATAATATAGTTTCCATTCTATCAAATGAGACCAAGAAAACGAAAATACAACCACAAATGCTTTATGAAAATAGACCACAAAGTCGGCATTTTAATTAAAAAAACAGTCGGAGTTTTTTTTTCTCATTATGCACTGCGTGCTCCAGGATTTTTTTTATATGGTGCACACTGACCACACAGACCCATTCTCTCACATGTGGGCCTACCAGCTTTCTCCTGCCTGATTTGAAGCCGCTAGAATTTATGAGTATATATACGAAAACACGGTACCTCGTAAACGTATATATACGGCCGCGACAGTCAAAGGGTCAATCTGTGCAAGACACCCATAAGTATGAAAAAAAAAACTTTTACCACATGAAATATTAAGTTTAATGCAATAGAATAATTACAATAACAACAATAACAATAGAATAATTGACACTTACCTTTAATGAAGATCTGGTGATGATTGATGGGATGGGAGGAGGGGAGTGTGTTGAACCTATTGTTTAGAAGGGAAATCCCCCTCCATTAGGACTTGAGGTTTCAAGTCTTCACTGTCTATGTAACCCTTGAATTGATAAATTAGACACATGTGCAACTCTTGGGTATCTTTATAACGTTTCGCCACACAGTGGCTTCATCAGTCCATACAAAGGAGAATCTTGAAGAATAGGAGGAGAATGAGGTAATCAGTCCCTCAACCTTGAGTCGATGTGGTCAGTCCATCAATCTTGAATAGAATACGGCATACGTGCTGAGAAGGAGCTTATAAACCGTTGGCAGGAGAGGTGCAGCAGTCAGAGGTAGTGTAACATTCGTTCAATGTTGAAGTAGGTCGTGCCCAAGAATTAGGCAAGCGAAGAATTCCCAAGTATCTTGGGATCTTAATACTTGGGAATTCTTCGCTTGCCTAATTCTTGGGCACGACCTACTTCAACATTGAACGAATGTTACACTACCTCTGACTGCTGCACCTCTCCTGCCAACGGTTTATAAGCTCCTTCTCAGCACGTATGCCGTATTCTATTCAAGATTGATGGACTGACCACATCGACTCAAGGTTGAGGGACTGATTACCTCATTCTCCTCCTATTCTTCAAGATTCTCCTTTGTATGGACTGATGAAGCCACTGTGTGGCGAAACGTTATAAAGATACCCAAGAGTTGCACATGTGTCTAATTTATCAACATGTCGGTTCTCTGAACCATTCATCTACAAACCCTTGAATTCTTTCACATACTTTTCAGCTGCTTTTTGGTCTGAACTGGCAGCCTCACCATGCCTAATCACACTATGTATGCCACTACGATTCTTAAATCTTTCAAACCAACCTTTGCTGGCCTTAAATTCACTCACATCACCACTAGTTGCAGGCAATTTCTTTACCAAATTGTCATGCAGCTGCCTAGCCTTTCCACAAATGATCACTTGAGAGATGCTATCTCCTGCTATCTGTTTTTCATTTATCCACACCAATAACAGTCTCTCAACATTTTCTAACACTTACGGTCGCTGTTTCGTAATCACAGTTGCACCTTTTGCAAGAACAGCTTCCTTGATTGCCATTTTCCTGCTCACTATAGTAGAGATCGTTGATTGGGATTTACTATACAACTTGGCCAGCTCCAACACACGCACTCCACTTTTGTACTTTGCAACTATCTCTTTCTTAATTTCAATAGTCATTTTCACCCTTGGTCTCGAAGGGTTGGCACTAGAAGCTTTCTTGGGGCCCATGGTGACTTATTTTGCAGAAATAAGCACCAAAAACAGTGATAATATGGAATGTACCGAATGTATCCTTAGATGCACGCACACTAGCTGGCTTGTAAACACTGGCACACGGGGCAGTTCAGGCCACATGTGGACACATCTCGTACGAATTGCATTGCATACCAGGTTTTGTAACGGGAACCGAGGCAAATTTTTTTCGATATAATGCATCGGATACCGGATTTATTGGATACAGATAGCATCGCGAACCGGGGGTCCTATGTATGTATGTATGTATGTATGTATGTATGTATGTGTGTGTGTGTGTGTTGTATATATATATATATATATATATATATATAATATATTTAAATATATATAAAGTTAGCATAAGGAAAGTTTTTACAAAGTAGAAGTGATGCAAGGAGGGAAGAGTATATGGAGAAAAAGAGAGAGGTTAAGAGAGTGGTGAAGCAATGTAAAAAGAGAGCAAATGAGAG